AAGGAAAGCAATCCTCTATTGAAACCGTTCCGGTGTATAAATACCTATATATATTATTATATATTATATATATATATATATATAGAAATATAAAAAATAAAAGGTTATAAAAAAACGAAGCATTTTATAACAATAATTTTTCGTAATAATTTTAAAATATATACTTTAATATAATTTCAAAAACATCAGCAGATATATTCTGCTTTTCGAATACGATCTTGTCACCTTCTTTTTTAACCCACTCGCTCGATAAGCCGGCTTTAAAATAAGGACATTGAGCTTTTAAAACGAATGAATGAGCTTTAAAAATCTTTATATTTGGACCCTCGCCAATTCGTACTATAACATTATATTCATCTGGTTTTTCTAAATATTTAGCAAAATTTTTAGAAAAATTTAAAAGTAATTCCAAATCCATAATTTTTTAAAAATTCATGTGGGAAAAAGTGATTTAAAGAATACATTCATTTTTTTTTATATTTATTTTTGAAAAATTTATTCATTTTACGATTATAAAAATACAGTTAATTTTGGGTTATTTATGTTGATGATAAACAAAAAAAAGCCCCAAATATTGATCATACTCGGTTTATGAGTAATGCAGGGATGCAGGCTTTTTTTTTAAACAAAACTAAAATCGCATTTAGGATAACAATCATTTGACATTTTTCAAATACTGAATTTATTTGTAACGTTTAGGCTTTTTATGGTATATAAGCATTAGCATTCCCACCAAATTTAATAGAATTAATATATTTAAAAAAAAAAAAACTCAGATCTTTCCACGAATGGTGTCAACGAATTCACGCAATTTATCGAGGCCTTTGTCAATTGGAGCTTGTGCCAATCCGGCTATTTGGGAGCAAGAATAGTGATGTAAATAGAGTAAAAGAATGAAAGTAGTAATAAGACGTAACAAGACGTAACAAAAGTAATAACAAGTAACAAGAAGTAACAAATAACAAGATGTAACAAGTAACAAGAAGTAACAAGAAATAAAAAAACAAGTAAAAAAAACAAGAAATAACAAGTAACAAGAAATATATACCTGCAATTTCAAGAGGTGGCTACAGAGACAGTAAAAAATATGAGTATAAACATTGAAAATTAATAATAATGTACAGGCTTTCTTACGTACTTGATCAGGGGCGGATGGATGCGGACTAGAATAATAAATAGAAAAAGGTTAATAAATATATTGAAAAAGTTAACATTTCATTCCCATAAAGAAGTAAATAAAATAATAGTTACCGAGTAGGAACAGTACTTCGAGTTTTTT